CGTGCTCTTTTCCGGATACAACTTTTGACATTTTCTCTGTTGAAACAAGGGGGCTATCGTCCTTCCGTGCATCTGCAAGGACAGTGAAAATGGCAGAAATGACACGATAGGACTTCTGAGGTCAGGTCGTAACAGAGGCTAGAGCATCCAACGGTGTCCTGAAATGCTCTTCTGGAGCCCAGCCACCATGCTGTGAGGAAGCTAAGCCTGCTCTCGTGGAAAGAGCAGACGGAGAAACCTTAAGACAACCTAGGGAGAGAGCTGCCTGACCGGCCCCTGCTGCCCTGGCCCCACGTGGTTGTAGCTTCCACCGTCACCTGGCAGGCAGTCTCAGGACAGAGCCAGAGCCAGAACTACCCCTACGAGCCCTTCTCCAATTCTTGACCCACAGAGACCATGAGAGAGAACCGGATTGTTATTTTAAGCCACAGTAACCAGGCAGCGTATTCTGAAGGACAGCAGTTTTCAGAAGGATATGCCGGTCATCTTCTTGTTCCTGCAGGGCCGTGTGTTAGAGGAGTCAGTCCTCGCGTGTGAAGGGAGGCAGCACTTCTCTTAGCAGGTGGACTTTGCGGGGAGGCGGACGAGGCCTTCGCTAAGTGGAGGGTGGCAGCGTGCATCACCCAGTGGTCTGTTCGGCTCCCTTCAAAGCCAGATTCTCTGTCACCAGACATGCTCGAGCACAGGACACGTGGATGCTTTGGGTATGTTGTAAAGGGCCTAGACCCCAAGCGGCACCTTTCAGCCCTGAAGTGATGTCATTCCTCAGCCGGCCCCCTAGTGCCATGGTTTAGCGCAGCACACTGGGAGCCGGATCCCACATGGTGATGGTGCTTCACAGCCCAGCCCCAGTGACTTGGAGAACACGGTATGTGTGTTTGTGTGCCCTGAATCCTGACCAGATAGGGAAATGGAAGAGACAGGACTGCGATGTGGCCACACTTCACTGAGAGATGCCTTCTCTCTCTGTTTCTCTGTCTCTCTCAAGTGTATGTGCCCTCAGGCAGTTAAAGAATTCTCATAAAAAAAGAGATATAATTACTCATAGGTTAAGCTAACCTTTTTTGAAGAACATCTAGTAAATTCTCCTTGGAAGATATGAGGACTTAAACAAGAATTTAAACAAGACATAAGGACTAATCTGGGCCTCTAACATTGGACAGGCTTGGAAAAGCAGGAGGCAGGGCTACCCCACAGTGAGAACTGCTTATTTAACCAGCAACACCAAGTTAACCACGCCCTCTCTCTAGAGCCCCTTTTCCTCCTCAACCATGGGTGGGTTATGGGCCATCGTCCTAACAGCCCCTTTCTGATCCCTGGCCTCCCTAGATGCTCAGATCCCATCGGGTGCTAAGTTGTCCCACTCTCCTGCCAGTCCTGCATATGGCCTTCTGCTGCCCTTGCATGGTCACTGGCTGTGTCCATGCCATCATCAGCTCTCACCCGATGACGCAGCCTTCTAGACGGAGACAGTGTTGCTACGTCAGTTATCCTGAAAGGGTGCCCTGGTTGGCTTAGTCTCCACCTCGAAAACCAAAGTCTTCATTAAGTTCCCACTGCTTTTAGAAGAAAGACGGCAGGACCAGCAGATGGCACAATGGTTATTTTGCTTGACTCCAACGTGGTCAACTGTGGTTTGAGTCCCAGACCTGGCAGCTTAAAACTCACTCCGGTCACATGTGCATATGTGCCCCAAAACCCGAGAGGAGACTGGAGAAGGGATTGCGGCCTGACCATCCCTTCTGAGGGGGTGATTTCTCGCTTTCTGTCTCTCTGTCTCTCTCTGTCTCTTTGGCAAGCTCAGGTGCCCTATAGCAAAAAGCTCTCTTAAAAAAAATCCTCTCTTAAAAAAAGAAAAAAGGTGGAGTTTCATAGGTACTCAAGGCTTTCATGATCTGACAGAGGATAAGGGAGTAGGAGAAGAGAGGAAGGACAGGGGTGGCAAGAGAGAGTGATTCCTGTGTTAGTTGCCAAACCACTATCACAAGAACCGCACGCTGGTCTGTGTTAAACCACAGAAACCTGCTGGCTCACTGTTCCGCAGGCTGGAAGGCCGAAAGTCGAGGTGTCAGCAGGGCCATGTTCCTCTGAAGGCTGTGGGAGAACCCTTCCTTCTCTCTTCCTAGCTGCTGGTGGCTCTGGGTCAGCTTGGCATCCTTTGGTTTTAGCCGCCTCCCGGCAATTTCTGTCTTCCCATGGCCTTCCTCCCTGTGTGTGTCCAAACCTCCCTCTCCTTTCTCGGCTAAAGACACCATCCGGCCAGCTCCACGGCACTGTGGTGTTGGTGCTGCTCAGGAGAAGCCGGGTCCCACGTGGTGACTGTGGTTCAAAGGCCCAGCCAGGAGGCCAGAAAGCATGCTGAATATTCACAGGAGTGGCCATGATGAGTGACTTGGAGGACTGGACAAGGGGGCCCATGGCACGGTCAGACCCTGTAGACAGTACTTCTCGTTCTCTCGCTCGCTCTCACGCACACGAGCTCTATCATGAGGAGGTAGTTATTGGATTTAGAGTCCACCCCAACCCAATATGAGCTCTTCTTCATTCTTTCTACAAAGACCCTATTTCCAAGTAAGGTCACATCCTCCGGTACTGGAGGTTAGGACTTGAACACATCTTCAGTTCCCACAGTGAAAATCTGCCAGAACACTGTCTTAGCACAGGAGTGGCTTCTTTCTTGTGAAAAGTCCTGGATGAATGGGCCCAGCAGATGGCATGGTGGTTAAGGTGCCAAACTCCCACATGGCTGACCACAGTTTGAATCCCAGACCTGGCAACTTGAAAATCACACTAGGCATGCCCAAAATCCCAGGAGGAGAATAGAAAGGGATTGTGGTCCTATCCCCTGCCCCCCCCCCCCGGGGGGGGTTTTTATGTGTGGCCCCCCCCCCCCCCCCCCCCCCCCGGGGTGATTTTTCACTTTCCCTATCACTGTCTCTCAGGAAGTGAGCACACAGTGCTCTATGGCAAAACAAACAAAAACCTTAATTTAAAAACAAAAAAGGCCTTGAGTCTGAAGAACACTGGAAGGTAATGTCAAAATAGGGTGGCCAGAGTTTTCTGAGCAGTGGAATAACATGCATGATCAAAGGATAAAGTTTTAATTCTATGAAAAAATCAGTCTGGAAGCTGGTTATAGGAGAGATTACAGAAGATAAAGTTAGGGAGGTCATTTGAGAGGCCGTCTCAGTAGCCCAGAGGCAGGGAATTAGACACAGACGGTGAGCCCCAGGGGGGCTAGGAATCGTGGAGCGCCTGTAGCCAAGAACCTAGAGCAGTGTGTGGAACGTAGTAGGGTGCTCAGAACACATTGAGCCCGGGGACCAGCAGATAGCGCAATGGCTATGCCGCTGGACTCCCATATAGTTGTCCGCCATCCGAGTACTGGACCCGGTGGCTTAAACTCACGCCGGGCGCGTGTGCGTGCGTGCCCAAGATCCTGAGAGGAGAATGGAGGAGAAGGGATTGCGGCGTGGCCATCCCCCCTGGGGGCTGATTTCTCACTTTCTGTCTCTGTCTTTCTGGTGAGCGCACGTGCCCCTATAGCAAAAACCTCTCCAAAAAAAAAAAGAAAAAACACACTTGAACAGATCAATGGCGGGCATAGTAGGACTGCAGCTGTGAGAATGACGAGGAAGACAGAAGCAACAGCCTTACAGAGGGGCCCTGGCCTGGAATAAGGTAGGGCCGTTGCACATCCATCTCTTGAGGTCAGATCCTGGGGTCACACCTGAGGGAGCCTGGACCTCTCACCACCTGCCACGCCGTGGAGCCAGACGCCTGCCTCTGGAGCACGCCATGCCTGGTGCTGTCCGCAGCGCCCTGCACACAGTAGGCCTTCGATACAACGTCCAACAAGCGAGTTCATGAACAATAGCAGAGTACGTGTAAGCAGAATCTAAAGACGGGCCTACTCCGGACCTCCCGGAGCCGGAGTTTCCGGCGCGCAGTCTGCGCCCCACAAGCACTTGTTGCACCCGCCGAGCCTCCCTTCGCGCAGTTCCGCCCCGCAGCCGGCCGGCCTCTGGCAGGCTGTCGGGATCCCGGGCTGTTACGTCCTTATGTAAGAGTGGAGGGCCCTCCCCGGCGCCGCACACCCCTCCCACGGCCAGGGCCAGCAGGGCGGGGGGCGCCGTGCGCTTTCGGTGGCCGGGCCCCCGAGCCCCGTGTAGCCCCCGGTG